TTTGTCTAAGTCAGAAAACTGCTAGATGTGTAACACAGCTAAAACACTTGTGGAATGTGCATCTCCGGAAGTTGCAGGACTTACTTCTAATGCATAGGACTGCACTCTTGATCATGCTTTGATAAAACCCATTTAAATCATGACTAACACAATAGATCAACACAAAACATGACTCTATATCTAGCCCAACACATTTTGCAGAATTTAGAAGCTTCATTACGCTCTTCTAAATATTAAGCAATATATAAATATTGTTATATTTAACAGGAGCACCCAACACATCATGGTAGTAGAGTGAGCTATGGAGCTGACATGAGAGTCAACAATGATTTTAGATTATTTCAAAAGACATCTGAATGCAGTCAAATCAGAACTCTGGCAACCATAATTCTGCCCTCTAATGGCAGCCTGCAGGATAAAGAGACAGAAGGGAAGGACAAAAGAAAGACAAAGGAGATGAACCCGTGAATTTTGGATTCGGAGCAGAACCATTCAGCCCCAGACAGATTACCTATGAGGCAATGTGGCTTTTAACAAGAAAAAAAAAGTTGTGCCTTACATGAACAAGTAATTTTGTTTCATTTACTTTTCTGTTTTACTGATAAAACAGGCTGCACACACAGTTTCTTTTTATTTACTGTATTTTTCTGTCTATAAGATGCCCCCATGTATAGGATGCCCCCCCACTTTTCCTTCTTATCTCCAGCAAACAAGCTGCTGCTGCACACTCGTGCCGCTTTGCTGCCCCCCGCAGCACCTCGCCACCCCCACCCGCACTTGCCACCCCCCCACCCGGCGCACCAGCGGCCCCCCGTGTATAAGACACACCTTCATTTTTAAGTAAATGTTTTTAAGAAAAAGTAGCATCTTATACACAGAAAAATACAGTACATTTTCAGTTATGATCTCACTGATTGCCACCTATTATACATTTCCAAAAGATTATTATTCATTGAATTGTTCAAGATAAACTTAACATATGCAATCAGACTAGTTTCATCAAAGCATAGGAGCTTATAAAAGACCTTCCTAAATTCTGCCTTTCTGCAATTTTTGTGGAACTGGGGGGCAAAAAAAAAAGCATGCAATTTGGAAGTTAAATTCCTGAGCATTCAAAATCATCTTGCACACTTTTCTGTCTTTTTAGTTTTTTATAGTCTCTGTACATCACACACATGCATAATTACCAGCTGGTTTACTGGTGGTGATGTCACTACTGAAGCACTGGAGAAAGCACTGCCCTTCCAAAGGAGCAGTCAGCTCTGGCATGGACACCAAGCCAGTAAAGTTAGATGAACGTGGATGAAGTCAACAAGGCAGCAACCCTCCCTAATGATAGCAAGGGCCCACCAGCTCAGACAGGAGATGAGGCTGCAACTCCTTGGGTAGATCAAGCTGCTAACAGTCCCAAAAGTTCCAAGCCAGCCAACTGATATGAAAAGGCAATTATCTGAACTACCCAGGATGCAAATCTTTGGGAAGAAACTGGAAGCTATTTCTGCTGCTTTAACACAAAAGTAGTTACTGTGGGCAATGGATGAATTCAGACCAAGACCATATTCTTGTCAAACATCAAGGGTTTAGAGCTGATTCTAATGATAAGGATGGGAAAGAGAAGCAATATAATAACATTATTAAAGTGAAAGCTGTAAACTACTTTGGGCAGGAAGAATCACGGCCAAAGCGTAACTTTGCCCCTATGAAAAAAATCATGATGGAGGATCAACCCAGAGCACCCAGAGTGCACAGAGCTCACTGGTGTGACAAAGTGATGTAATCACCACTGAAAATGGTGCCTTCCATGACACTGAAGGGCTTAGACATGAAGAACAACAGACATGCTCTAGTTTTGCATGGGCAAGCGACTGAATGGGGCAACATATCTAATGCCACACAGGAATTAATAAGACGAGGGGGTCAGGAAAAAAATAGAGAATTAAATTAGTATGCTGGAATTGTGGAAAAGTAAACATGAATACATGAAGGCTTGAGTTCATGCTTGCAAAAAGAATGAAAGGGGAGAGGTACATGCTTGACCAGACATTGGATAGGGTCAAAAAGGCCCTCTCCTTACTTCTCCAGGGGGAGAGATTTGGGGGAATTCAAATGAAGACCTCAGAGATTGGGCAGGGACATATGAAGGTAGAGATTCCTTTAGACATCCTGGCCCCAAGCCATTCAGGGAATTGCATGTTATTGTTCAACACACTGAATTAGGCCCAGATGGCAACTGGCAGCCAACATAGACTGCACAGGACTGGTGTGACATGTTCACGAAAGCCAGTCCTTGTTAGCAGGTGTGCTACCCTATTCCGGAATAGCTGGATTTCAGAATTAATGGACTTCACTGGGAAAAGGTCAACCCAACACTTCATCTAAGTCAACCATCCCCAGGTTGGTGCCTTCCAGTTGTAAAACAGATACATTACAGTCAGCTTTATTTTTCCACATTTTAAAAATGTAGCATTTATCATCTCAGATGTATCATGCATTCAGAATTTATTCATTCTATTTTATGGTTCAGCCAATTTCAGTTTAACAGCATGTGTTTCCAGCCCCTTCCTCAAAAACATTAGATCTCACAAATCTAGGAAGGCATTATTTTTAAATAGAACTGAAACTACTGTGATATCTTTTATTTATTATAAACATAAGCAAATGTTTGTTACTGTACAATTATTCTGAGTTAAAACCAAAATAATGATGTTTAAAATGATTTATGCAATCAATTTTAATGGAACCATATCAGTAAATGTAAGCAAACTGAGTTGATATGACTCTAGGTGGCACAGATAATGCAGTTACTGTAAGAAATATACAATGTTCTGTTTCAGACATTACACTACCACAGCTTGGCAGACAGGGAATGCCCCCTCCTTATTCATTCTCCCTTTGCAAACCATGGTTTCAACTTGCAACTGTAGCTGTTTAATAAGCCATGGCTGTTTGCATGGATGTTCAGGCACAAGAAGCCAGATTTCATCAAACCACACAGCAGCTGTGTTATATGTCAAACCAATCCATTTGAAAATGAGAGGGATGTTAACATGTTTTAAGCAAGAATTTACATTCCAACATCTAAAGAACATTCAATTAATACTGTTAAGACCAATGCAATACTCTTGAGAGACAAACCTGACAGATCAGACAAACAACATTCAGCACTGCTTTGACGAATCATAGGAAAATCTTTTTGCTATCATTGTTCCAGAGCATGTACCTGCATACCTAGTTAGCTAAGGCCAACTTATGAGCAAGCACACCACTTGCTCATGGTGTATACTGTAATAACTTATAAATGGGACTGTGTAAAGTACAAAGAAAGAAATCCATGTTTAGGTTCCAATATAAATACATATACACATTTATTTCTTTGTCTCCAGTATGCTACCTTTTATAAATTTTCTCAGCTTTCATATTGAGAATCAACTTGACATGTCATGTTTTATAAAGGATATTAAAGAATATACTACATGTCCTTTAAAATGTAAATACTGCAATTTAATTTCTAGTTATGCAAAACATTTCAGTATATAATTCAAGAGGATTCAGTGAGAGCTTCTACTTGCTACGATCCCCATTTCTCATTAATGCCTCTGGGCAGGAACTGAAGATGGCAGCTGCAGGCTTCCCTCTATAAGTTTGCCCAGCCACAAAAAAGGAGGTAGAAAAGGGGGAAAAAGACTCATATTGTCATTTATTTTTGGTAAGCTGGGTTGATGGCTATAAAGAAAACAGCAGAGCGCTAGGGAGGGCAGCTGTAATGGCAGAGATCAAGGAAGCCAGGAGTTGGGAAGCCAGGAAGGAGCAACCTAATGATTTGGGAAGAATTGTGTTTGTATGTCTGAATGGACAGAAGTTGTGTGAATGTTAGAAAGAGAGGAAAAGGTTCAGCATGATTATGGAGGATATCCTTTAAAAAAGTCAATGTGGTATTTCCATGAGTTTCAAATGACAAACAATGTGTATGTACACGTACACACACACACACACAAACACACACGAGACAGTGTGGTGTAGTAGTTAAGGGCACAGGACTGGGACTCATGCAATCTGGGTTCTAGTCCCCACTCAGCCACGGAGCCAACTGGGTGACTTTGGACCAGTCACAGACTCTCAGCCCAGCCTACCTGACTAGGTTGTTTTTGTGGGCATAAGACTCAGAAGACGAGGAGAAAGAGCTGGAGAAGAATGATGCAAGACACTCTGAGTTTGTTATATGAAAAACAAATAAAATGACAAATGCATAGAGTACATATGTGGAAAATTGGATGAAAGATAGATGGCTGGTGTGTCTTTCTGTGTGGGGGAGAAGGGAGGGAGAGACTGAAAGTATAGGTAGTGATTCAGAGTGAGAGAGCAAAAGAAATAGGAAAAAAAGTCTGACTTCTGTGAAATTGTTTTCTACTGGCACTAAAAACCACAGATTTGAAGGAGCTGTTTAGTGTGCTGCATCCAACTCTTTCATGGCCTTGGCAAGGGGTGGCATAGAAATGTTTTAATTAATAAATAAATAAATAAATAAATAAATAAAATTTGCAATCCCTGTTTTTAATAGGATAGTTGTTATCGTTTGGGTAAGATATTTGTTGTTTAGTAGAATATTTGTCACAACTATCGATGCAGACAGGACACATCTTTTTTGGCTAGGAACCACACCCCAAATTTCAAAATGAATGTCAAGTATGCCAAAAGATCACCTGTACCCTTTATTATGATCAACACTAGGTTCACTAGGGGACTGTGTAGAATTCATGGATGGAGTGCATTCTGAACATGAAAACAGGGTGGCACTGATTCCCTCTATTACTTAGACGAACGCACAATATCACCTTCCTTTGAGCTAGCCCCACTTCTTTGGCATATGAAGAAAAGCTGGATCCAAGCAAGGCTGTAGGCTTGATTAATGGAAGCCATGTGACACTTGCAAGGAATTCAATGAAAGGAGGGTAAAGGCTTTACAGTCTCACAAACCTTGTAAACAGATGAGTTATACTTACAGAATTGTAGGCTAAGGCTCAGAAAGGCTAATAAGGCTGCCAAGGCCAACAAGAACAGAAAACGATTTCGGAAAAACATTATTATTCTTCCCCCTGCTACTTCTTCATGGTTTCAGCTTCATAGTCAAGATATTTCCTGTCCTGTCAACACAAACGCAAAACATTTGTTAGAAATAACACTCAATAAATTACATACTCAAAGAAATACCAAAGAGTTGAGAGAAAGTTGTAAAACTATCATATTCTGTATTTTCATCAAATCTTTGGTTTTGCTTCTTGATTTTTAATGTTTTTTAAGCTCAAGAGCTTTGGGGCCCTTTGAGACTGAAAGCTGGGGTTATGAACATTTTAATACGTAATGTTTTACAACAATAAATGGATTAATTTACAATTTTCTTTTGTTACATTATACCAATTGTATGTAATTGAAAATTAACATCCTAAAATGTTGAAGACAGTCCAGATACTTCAGCTGGTTCAGAATAGAGCTGCCAGGATGTTAACAGGGCCCAGCACGTATTTACATATAATGCCAGTCCTCTACTGTTTACACTGGCTGTCAGTTGAAGTCCAGGCCCAATTTAAGGTGCTGGTGATGACCTATAAAGCCCTAAACAGCTTGGGTCCTGAAGAAGTGCCTCCTTCCCTATGTGCCTTTCCGCCCCTTAAGAATTGAGGCAAAGATCCTTCTCTGGGAGCCCTCCTTGAAGGTGATTAGGAAGTTGGCTACCAGGAGAAGGGCCTTCAATGCAGTGGCACCCCAATTATGGAATATGCTCCCCAGAGAGGTTCTCCTGGTGCTGACGCTTTATTCTTTTTGATGCCAGACAACCTCCTTTTTATTTTCCTAATTATGTAATGTTTAATAAGTCTTAATGTGGGTTTTATTATACTGAATTGTTGGATACTGTGCTCCATTTTATTTGTGTTGCTTTTATTGTAAAACCATCCTGAGACACTAGTAGTTGGCCAGGTTATTAAAGCTTTAAATAAATAAAAATGAAACCCTAAAGAGTCACAGAGTATATGCACAAATTCTTTTCATAATGCTTTAAGTATCTTCCTTTTGTATGAGACACAAAACATTGCTTTGCATAATGTTCTTCAGAGTACACAGCTGTAAGATAATTCTTATTTAAATGTTTTTATAGTTACTAAGTGTATTATTTGATACTGACTTTCATCCATGTAGTAAAATAATGAGAAATACCTGCTGAATAATATTGCAATGAACGTTATTGACATCAATAAACAAAAGAGACCAAAATGACAGACTGACTTAATACTTTCAAGTTTATCTGGAGGGAAAAATATGTAATGCAACAGCTTAGTGAAAAAGACAGGAGCTATACCCTGAGTACAGAAGAAGGAAAAGTTCTACAATGTTCTGAACCAGGGGCCCTCATACTTTTTCAACAGGGGGCCAGTTGAAAGGTGGCGGCAGTGGGCACGGGCCAGTGAGGCGGTGGCAGGCATGGCAAGGCGCGGCAGAGGTGGCAGCAGGCACACATGAAGCGAGGCAGCGCTTGCTCGTCAGAGATCGTTTTCTCCAAGTGAGTCCAAAACCTCTGAGGTGGGCCGGATAAAGGGGAATGGTGGGCTGGAACCAGCCCACAGGCCGTAGTTTGAGGACCCGTGTTCTGAACGTTGCCCTGCTCAGGAGCAGAACTCATATGTGTGAGTCACAGAGGCTACAGAGGACACATAGCTTTCAACTGTCAGAGAGCATATAGATACAAAACAAGAAGGAAAGTACCAATAATACCAATTGACAGAATACAGAGAAAACAAAAATTAACAAAGTTTGGAACGTGAAATGAAATCATGATGTGCATTATTAGAAGAATATAGTCCATAAATTACCACCTATATCTTTCTAATAGAGGTAATCCCCTGTTGAGGGCAACCCTGTCCATGACATTTCATGTTTCAATTATACATTTATCCCCAAATATTCAACTTAGTTATGTTGAATAAAGCCATTACGAACTGTATCTGTCGTGCTCCTGATGGCTCTTGGCTGTTCCTATCCCCTCCCCGTGTCACTTGTTCATCTTACTTTGCCCTAAGAACAATTGTATGTTTTACCAAACACTTCAACTTCCTCCTCATTGCTTATACTCTTGCTTTCTGACATAACACATCCTCCTTCCCTGTATTCTCCTGAATTCCTTCTTGTGTAATTGCCCAAACCACTCTGCACATTAATCAACTAAGCTCCACCACAACTATGTTACTGTGGGCCTTTATTCCCTCTGAAGTATGCCCATGTCAACCCCATCAGAATATATGTATGTGTAGCATATGCCTGCGAACAAGTTCTTTGCATCTTTAAACCTCTCCAGTGATGTTCTGTTCACTGTGAGTTCACAGATTGATTCCTGTGAGTTTACCTTTGCAGTTGCTTCTTGGCTCCAGATTTGCAGCCTAATTTATGTTATGCACTCCATTTGCAGAAACTACTAGAAGATCTTTCCATGGGCCTATCACAATCTTAGAAAAATAGAATCAAAGAACAGTAGATGTGAAAGGGACCAAGAGCTGGTGGGTCCAACCCCATACTGAATGCAGGATTCCAAGTGAAAGCATTCATAAGTGATGGCAGTCCAGCTACGTTCTGAATGTTCCATGTAGAAGAATCCCACAAACTCCCACTGCTGCCCATGCAAGTTGCTCCTGCCTACAACCCATTCCCACCTTGTGTCCCTTCCTAACTGCATAGTTCACGTAAAATTTCCACCAAACTCTAGCAAGGTTCCATAGCTATGGTAAAGACATACAGAAATGCACAACACTAAGTTGTTCCAGAGAGCCCTATCAGCTTTCTTTCAACAGTAAATACCACAACAGGAAGGCAGCTTGTGGGCCTGTCCAGAGCAGATGTGGGAGGCAGCAGTTTTCACATCCAGCCATCATACAAAAACAGCGTTTGGTCACTTCTACGATGGTGCTGTATCATTTGAAACAACACATTGTTCCACCACTTTAGAACATCACCTTTCAACCAGGTGCCCACCAGATGTGTTAGACTAAAATCCTGTTATCCCTAGGCAATATGACTTTGGTGCCTGGTTGGAAAAGACGGCTTTAGAACATCAGCCTCCTGTCTCACACAGAGCATAAACACATTATTGCACTGAATTACTGCAACAGCTTAAATAGATTGATTAAAATGGCTTGTCTCCATAATAATCAATAGCACTCTTCAGTGTCTGCCTCCATGAAATTACTGTACTTATCTGGCATGAGAGATCAAAATGTTTGTAACTGCCACAACATGAATGAGTACAATCAACATGCGGAAGAAAGCCAAAGATATACACAACAGGCCAAACATAATATAACCCAATGCATTCAGTTACTGTAAAAGTGAAAGAGCTTTCCCAAGTTTCCAGAACACTACATCTTGAGAACAGTTGTTCCTTCTCATACAGATATACTGCAGAAAGGCTACATCAGCACTGGAATCAACAGGTTCTAACAGGTCTCCATTGCCTTTAAGGACAGTGAGCATAAATGCTATCATCATCACCATCTGTTTATTTATTGCATTTCTCTATCAACCAATAGCTGAACTCTCTGGAAGGGTTACAAGCTTAACTTTTTCAGGATACAAAACTTTAACCTAGTTATTCTTGTTATACACTAAGTTGTTCTTCCTAACACTTCGAAATTTTCCTGGTGAGATCCCTGATACTTTTGCATTGAATAATTTACTCTAATAAATGCTGATGAAACAAGAAACAGCCCATGTTAAAGCAGTAATTAACACCAAAGTGATACGATATAGATGGAAACCAACTGTAAATGATAAACTGTAGAAAAATGTGTTGCTTTCCTGATTTACACAAATGGCATTCATATTAAGATAACTAGGAAAACCCCACGGAGTAGCACATTGTTGCTAAGTTTGAAAATGTGAACATACATTGAGCTGGCATTCAAGCATCCTTATGTAACACAGTTTTATAAAAAATCCATTTTTTGACTTTTTAACTGAGTCGTCTCAGAACCACTATTACCTTTGAGAAATCTCATGTCAGAAGACAGGTGGAGGGGTAAAATTCTCTGTATTTTCAAAAAGTGAAAAAAGAAGGACCCTAGAAACTGCAGTCTGATATTAGTCCGGGAAAATCTGGTGCCAATCATAAGCAGCCAATCTATAAGTAAGGTTGAAAATAATGTAATGATTACAAGATGCCAATGTGGATTTGACAAGAACAAATCCTGACACACTAATCTGATGTCACTTTTTGATTTGGTAACCTGCTTGACAGACTGTGAGAATGCTATGGACATAATATATCTTAACTTCAATAAAGCTTCTTACAAAGTACTACATGAAATCATGATTAGTAGATTACCTGAAAGTGGGCTAGATGGAACAACCATTAGGAGGATCCACAGTTGGCTACAGAAATAGATTCAAAGAGTACTTATCAATTGCACCTTCTGTAACCAGGGAAATGTAACAATTGAGTTTCTACAAGTTTCAGTCCTGGGCCCAGTGCTCTTCCATATTTTTATTAAATATTTGGATGAGGAAGTGCAGGGAATGCTTACCAAATCAGCAGATGATATAAAATTGTCTGGGACAGCTAATACCCCAGAAGACAGTAACAAAATTTTAAGTGATCTTGACTGGTTGGAGTGCTGGGCTGAAAACAACAGAATGACTTTTAATAGGGATGAATGCCGAGTTCTTCACCTATGAAAAAATGCACTAGATGGAGGATACTTGGTTACAAGCAAGGAGGATTGTCAGCAATAAGATGTGGCAACAAAAAGGGCAAATGCTATTTTAATGCAAGTATCATTTCCAGATCACAGGGAGTACTAACACCCCTCTGTTTGGTTCTAGGCACCACAGTTTAAGAAAATGCAGACAAACTGGAAAGGGTTCAGAGGAGGGCAACAAAGATGATCAGGGGATCAGAAACAAAGTCCTATCAGGAGAGCCTGAAAGAACTGGGCATACTTACTCTTGAAGACAAAACTGAAGGGAGCTTTGATAGCATTCAAGTACTTGAAAGGTATTTGTAGCAAAGAAAAGGACTGGGATCTCTTTTTAATCATCCCAGGGTACTGGACACAGAATAATAAGCTCAAGTTTCAGAAAATCAAATTCTGGCTGAACATCA